TTCAATTTTTTGAAACAGCTTCAGGAGAATAGGTGTTATTGCTTCTTTGAAAGTTTGGTAGAATTCCCCAGGGAATCCATCAGGTCCGTGGCTCCTGTTTTTTGGGAGGTTTTGGATCATTGCTTCAATCTCATTACTTGATACTGGTCTATTCAGGTTGTCAATTTCTTCCTGGTTCAATTTTGGGAGTTTATAGTTTTCCAGGAATGTATCCATTTCATTTAGGTTGCTTAACTTATTGACATATAACTGTTGATAATAACTTCTGATGATTGTTTCTACTTCCTTTGTGTTTGATGTGATCTCTCCCTTTTCATTCATAATTTTATCAATTTCTGCTGTCTCTCTTTTCTTTTGGATTAGTGTGGCCAATGGTTTATAGATCTTATTGATTCTTTCAAAAAAACAACTTCTAGTTTCATTGATACGTTCTACTGTATCTCTAATTTCTACCTCATTGATCTCTGCTCTAATCTTGATTATTTCCTTTATTATGTGTGGAGTTGGTTTGATTTGTTGTTGATTCTCCAGTTCTTTAAGGTGTAGAGACACTTGGTGTATTTTGGATTTTTCAATTATTTTGAAGGAGGCTTGGATGGCTATGTATTTCCCCCTTAGGACCACCTTTGCTGTATCCCATAGACAAGTGGAATAGAGTAGATAGCCCAGATATGGACCCTCAACTCTATGGGCAAATAATCTTTGACAAAACAGGAAAAAATATACAGTGGAAAAAAAGATAGTCTCTTCAATAAATGGTGCTGGGAGAACTGGGCAGCTATATATATAAGAATGGAACTCGACCATTCTCTTACACGTACAGGAAGATAAACTCAAAATGGATAAAAGAGCTCAATGTGAGACAGGAATCCATCAGAATCCTAGAGGAGAACATAGGCAGCCGCACAAACTGCTTTCAAGATATGTCTCAAAGGCAAAGGAAACAAAAGCACAAATAAACTTATGGGACTTCATCAAGATCAAAAGCTTCTGCACAGCAATGGAAACAGTCAACAAAACAAAGAGTCAACCCACGGAATGGGAGAAGATATTTGCAAATGACAGTACAGACAAAAGGTTGATATCCAAGATCTATAAAGAACTCCTCAAACTCAACACACACAAAACAGATAATCATATCAAAAAATGGGCAGAAGATATGAACATACACTTCTCAATGAAGACATACAAATGGCTATCAGACACATGAAAAAATGTTCATCATCACTAGTCATCAGGGAGATTCAAATTAAAACCACATTGAGATAGCACCTTACACCTATTAGAATGGCCAAAATGAGCAATACAGGAAACAACATGTGTTGGAGGGGATGTGGAGAAAGGGGAAGCCTCTTACACTGTTGGTGGGAATGCAAGTTGGTGCAGTCACTTTTGAGAACAGTGTGGAGATTCCTCAAGAAATTAAAAATAGAGCTTCCCTATGACCCTGTAATTGCACTACTGGGTATTTACCACAAAGATACAGATGAAGTGAAAAGAAGGGCCATCTCTACCCCAATGTTTATAGCAGCAATGGCCATGGTCGCCAAACTGTGGAAAGAACCAAGATGCCCCTCAAGGGATGAATGGATAAGGAAGATGTGGTCCATATACACTATGGAGTATTATGCTTCCATCAGAAAGGATGAATACCCAACTTTTGTAGCAACATGGACGGGACTGGAAGAGAGTAGGCTGAGCGAAATAAGTCAAGCAGGGAGAGTCAATTATCATATGGTTTCACTTATTTGTGGAGCATAACAAATAGCATGGAGGACAAGGGGAGATGGAGAGGAGAAGAGAGTTGAGGGAAATTGGAAGGGGACGTGAACCATGAGAGTCTATGAACTCTGAAAAACAATCTGAGGGTTTTGAAGGGGCTGGTGGTGGGAGGTTGGGGAACCAGGTGGTGGGTATTAGAGAGGGCATGGATTTCATGGAGCACTGGATGTGGTGCAAAAGCAATGAATACTGTTACGCTGAAAAGAAATTAAAAAAAAAAAAAAAGCACAGCTCACATTCACAGATGCCTTACTATTGTTATGTGCCCTTCTAAGAACTTTATATTTTAAGTTATATTATATAAATTCAAATTTAACTGCTAATTTACTACATATAAAACATTTTTGCAAAATGTAACTTCAAATTTAACAACTAATTCACTACATACAAAGCATTTTTTGCAAAATGTTTTACAAAAATATTACCTTGGTTTTGAAAATTAACATGAGACATTCTAATTATATAGCCTTCTTGGTCCTCACTGGTGATAACCATTATTTCAACACTGCTACACTTTTTTGAATAATATGTCATCTGTATTTAAGCCTCATAATGTAGGAATTGTGATGAAGTTAACTGTGATCTATTTTGTTAATTCAACACTCTAGTATTGAGTTTCATTAATGGGAGTGTAGCTATCAGATAGTGCAGTTATGCTATTAACCTTGTTATTAATCCTCATTCAGGTTGTATTTTCCTATCAGAGACAGGTTTGCTGTGGTCACTTTTGATCATGTGAGGTTTTTTTTTTTTTTTTTTTTTACTTTTCTCAACTGTTATGTTTCTGATCATTACTTTACAAAATAATATAATTAGTTCAGCAGCCAGAATTGATTACACAAATATGTATCTGGCATCAGTTTGCATAATTCTTTTCTTTCTTTCTTTTTTTTTTTAATCAAATCCTGGCAATATTGATGTCTTTTTTTTTAATTGCTTCATTCAATGATTCTTTTCTCAATTTCTCAGCATGATTTCTATGATTAATGAGTTGCCACTTCTATGGGCTTATACACAGAAACACAATGTCATTAAATCCAGTCACTCTTCTTTGTGATATCATAAGATGAAAATACAGACGAACTACTCTGGTAGATTCGTATTTGTAGGGCATAATCAACTTATGAATTTTTAAAGTAATAGTTTTTCTTTCTTAAAGCAGCATTTGCTATTTGTATGCATAATAAAAACATAAAGAAAGTGTATTTTACTACTTCCCCACTTAAAATTAATTCAAACTCATGAGCTGGAATTCATGGTTCTGTCTCCTTCTACAGCTTAATTTTCTCTAACTAATTTTAGGATCAGCATCTTTGTTTAGTTTTGTTTTGGGCCTCTTCACAAAAATATGATGCACAAATGAGCCAAAGTGCCTACCTGTCTAATTGTTCTAGTCACCATACTTGTCTTTCTGTTTATAACATTGTTTTTATTACCTGGAATAACCTTCTTTCATATATTAACTTTTCTCATATATGTATACTTACCTTATAAATTGAATCTTAACTGCTACAATGAACATGAAACATAACTCTAACTTAGCCATCTCTGTTTCTCTAATACCTTCTATATATTTCACATTTTTTGTATATAGGTTCCACTTTGTGGAATTTATGCATGGATTGCTCCTTATTATAGGGCGGTCTCTCTCTCTCTCTCTCTTTCTCTCTCTCTTTTTTACTTTTCCTGAGTCTTCAGTTGGATGCCATCAGATGACTGAGGTCTTCCCTGATTATTTAAAATTGAACACTCGAATTTAATGTTAATGTATTCTTTTCAATTATTTTTCCACAGCTTCATAGTATTTTAATATTTTTGTCACCATCTGATTACAATATGTAAGGGCAAATGATATAATTTTTTTTTTCTTTTTTGGTTGCTGCTTTATTCCAAGGGCACAACACATAGACACATATTCATAAACATTGCTTGAATTTGTGGATTTTAAGCCTCTCTAAATTTCTGTTTTTGTATGTAGTAATTTTTTGTAGGAGATATCAGATGTGTTCACACACCAGTTAGCCTAAAATGACACAATTATATTCTATCACAGTAATGGAGACTGCTAGAATTCTAAACTCAAGATATTGACAGTGTTGGTTACTTCTGAGGGTTGTAAGAAAGAGAATAATTTCCATGCCTCTTTCCTAGCTTCCGGTGATGATGAACAATCCTTGAAAATCCTTGGTATGTAAATATACCACTCCAGTCTCTGCCTCTGTTGACATTCATTTTCCTTGTGTCTATTTCCTCACATGGAAGTCTTATATAGATGCCAGTCCTATTGGATTGGTGCCTGGCCTACTGCAGTGTGATCTCATCTTTGTTAATTTTTTTTAGGATTTATTTATTTATTTGAAAGAGAGAGCATGAGGAGGACAAGAGCAGAGGAACAGCGAGAGAAAAACTCAAGCTGACTCTGTGCTTGGGGCTTGATCTCACAACCCTGAGATCATAACCTGAACTGAAACCAAGAGTTGGTTTCAGTGCCACCCAAGTGCCCTTATCTAATTGTTTTCAAATAAGTTTACATTCTGTGATGTTGGGGGTTAAGGCTCAACATATCTCTTTTGAAGAAACACAAGTCATCTATCACATTGGGCTATACAAAAACGGGACAAAGTGTTTATATTTATATAATTAAAGTATTTTTTCAGAGCATGCATTTACTGCACAAAAAAATATTTACCAAAAGTTACAGATCAAACACTCTAAACTATAAAATAATTGACAAATATAAAGGTTTTGTTAACACTGACAGAAAAAAATCACCCACTACCATAAAAGCAAAGGTTCATATTGTGCTCTTTATCTCTCTTACTTTGTTTGCCACATTCTGAATTAAGCTTAGTTTCTCTATCAAATAATATGTAAAGGATATCTGATTGTTTCAAGGCACCGTCTAAATGCTTTTGGGAATTTTCCTTTTTGAAAACACACTATCAATTGTGAAAATGTATATTATTATCTTAATTTGTGAAGGATGTTTAGAAGCTGAACTTAGGAAAAGTTCCACACTAGACAGTACCAAGAGAACATATTTTGTTCTGTAATTATACTTCCTGTTCTTTGAGATTCCTAATACCGGTGATGTCAGCTTAATCACTGACCTATAGAATTTACCACAATCACATGCTTTGTAAGGCATTAAATACACATTTATCAACTCAATGTGGTAATATCACTTTTTACCATATTAGATAAAGAACACATTCATCATGGCATGGGCTAATCAGAGTTTCACCTCTGATTTCATCCTTCTGGGTATCTTCAATCACAGCCCTACTCACATTTTCCTCTTCTCTTTGGTCTTGGGCATCTTCATAGTGGCCTTCAGGGGAAACACTTCTATGATTCTCCTCATCTACATGGACACCCAGCTCCACACTCCCATGTATTTCCTCCTTAGCCAACTGTCCCTCATGGACCTCATGCTCATCTGCACGACTGTACCCAAGATGGCCTTCAACTACTTGTCTGGCAGCAAGTCCATTTCTGTGGCAGGTTGTGCCACGCAAATTTTCTTCTATACATCACTACTTGGCTGTGAATGTTTCCTGTTGGCAGTCATGGCTTATGACCACTATATTGCCATTTGCCACCCTCTAAGATATCCCAGTCTTATGAGTCCCAAAATTTGTGGTCTAATGGCTGCATCTTCCTGGATCCTGGGCTCTACTGATGGTGTAATTGATGATGTAGTTACATTTTTCTTCTCCTATTGTGGGTCCCGGGAAATAGCCCACTTCTGTGATTTTCCTTCCCTGCTAATCATCTCATGCAATGACACATCAACATTTGAAGAAGTTCTTTCCTACTGCTGTATAATAATGATTGTTTTCCCTGTAGCAATCATCATTGCTTCCTACACCTGTGTTATTCTGGCTGTCATTCAAATGGGGTCTGGAGACGGTCGCCGAAAAGCTTTTGCCACCTGTTCCTCTCACCTCATGGTGGTGAGAATGTACTATGGAGCAGCTTTATTCATGTACATGCAGTCCAGTTCAGATCGTCCCCCACCCAGGACAAAATGGTGTCTGTCTTTTATACCATCCTTACTCCCATGCTGAATCCCCTCATCTATAGCCTCCGCAACAAGGAAGTGGCAAGAGCATTCATGAAGGTAGTGGGGAAGGGCAAGTCTGGACAATAAATTGCTTAACTATTTTCATAATTTTCTAAGTTCTCTAGTGTCCTTTTCATTCTGTTTTTTTTTTTTTTTAATGGCACTTATTACATATACATTTTTGGAAAAGCACATTCCTGGGAAACAATACAGTCATTTCATATTAAGGAAAATTATTTCGAATATTCATTATTTTTCATATTTAATTCAGTTATAACTACATTTATGGCCATTTCTTGAATAAGGATATTATAGGTTGACTGAAATGTTTAGGAATTTTGTGGCATATATTCAGGTAACAAACAAGGTTTCTTTTCCCCATGTTGTAAATACAAAACAGTATTCAGTCACTTTCAAGTTACTTTGGATGAAAGTTTGGTACACTGGGCTTTTTACATTTACATAGTGTTTATGTTTCATTCTTAATTTTTATTCTCCCAGACTTGGAGAATAAAACAACATAACACTTCAACCCAGATGACTTTTTATATCACACCTTTAATTTTGTTTATCACAAAAGTGAAAATTTTATTAACAGTCTTAGATTTAACCCCTTTTCAAGTTGTTAAGACCCACCTAATCTCCATGCATGGTCTCAAAAAGGAACAAATTTTGCTCTTCAGATCCAAACGAACTGAAAATTTGCCAGTGTCCATGAATTAGGCACTGATATGAATACATTTTATTAATGATAACAAGATATATTGAAATTCTGGTTATGGTTATTTTTTTCTGTTTTCTATGATAAACTTATACTTAAAAGTAAGTATAAAAATTTCATGACTCTATTGCAGTCATAATTCCTTTTATAGAAATAGTGCAATTTCCATCACATTGTCTTTATTGGACTATTGAGGCACAAGCAAATGAAACTGGTAAATGATCATACCAGAAGGGAATATCTCAATCTGGCCTTGAGGAGAGAGAGATTGGCAGCCATTGTCACTGTGGTATGGATTCTTCCCTGTCCCCAGGGAGACCACAGGGTGTAATGACCCAAAAACCATCTAGGTGGTAGTCATGGCCAAAGGTTGTTCCACATAGCCATTAGGTTTCATTTGATGCTACCCAATAAATACCTGGGTATTACAATCAATCAGTGCCAAATGTAATCAGTGTCTTTAATATGACAGAGTGACTACACAATCCCAGTGGTATTCATTTTATGTTTTTGGTACAATTGGATTGATTCTAATTAGAGTGAGTTTTCTGCTTCTAACATGGGGATTTCCAGGTGCTTAGTTGCCCATAACCCAGAGCAAAACACATAAAACCGTCCCTAATCTGAGCACAGTCACCCATTGCTCTGATAGTAGTGTTCCTAGAACCTTTTTAAAAGGAAATTGATGGATTGTTTTTTTTTTTTTTTTGAGTTTATCTGAGAGGGAAAAATGTTGATACCCAGTTTCATTAATAGTGTGAGCCACAGGCTAAGTTCTTGAGTCAGTATTAGTAACACCAGATCAACTAGTGGTATTATATTCATTCTTCTGTTTTAAGGTCTCCCGGTCCATTCCTTGGAATGACAATACTTACACTGACAATTGCGATTGGGTTGCCAGAGGGCATCTTCCCATACACCCAACAGTTGTATTGATTTATTTTAGGTGCCTGTCCCATTATTGGACATTTTAAGAGCAGCAGAAGTCTAAGGCTGAAAAGACATTTAGTAGGACCTTCTTTGGTAAGGTCTTCCCTTTTTACAAGAATTACACTTGTGCCCAACTATTTGTTTGTTTGTTTGTTTGTTTATTTATTTAATTTTTTCAGTGTTCCAGGACTCATTATGCACCACACCCAGTGCTCCATGAAATATGTGCCCTCCTTAATACCCACAACCAGGCTCTACTATTTAGATGTTAATGTCACTGCAGCTTTGAGAATTTGACCCTTTGATCAATCATAAATATTGGCTGGGGAAGACGCACTATGAGGCATGAAGAGATGGGAGACCAGGATCCCCATCTTTTCTCCACTTTCAATGTTATATTTTCCACTTTAGGTTTAGTGAGTTTGCATAGATTTGGCTAGTAGCAGGACAATGGGATCCTAGTGGAAACTAAACAGCTACCCCTCAGCCAGATATGAAATAATACCCATCCTGTTGGGATGTCACATTGCAAATTGCAGCAGATAATTCCTTTTCCAGGTGTGATGGATCTTGGTGTTCTCAGTAGCAAGGCACATTGATCCATGGTGAGAGTTGGGGGAATACATATTTTTTATGACTTCCATACAATTAAGGTGTTGGGTTCCTTGGCATACGTCCTCAGTCTGTCATATTGGGCATAGGCCCTACTGGTTGTCATTCAAATATATTATAGCCAGGTTTAATTCTTTGGTCTATGTGGACAAGGTGGTTTTACCTGTTAACAATATAATTTGTTGTTTTAATATTTATTTTTTTCCTATCAATCTTACTAATTATGGGTTAAAGGGGAGGTGTGACCTCCATTCAGTGTCACACTTCTTTCCACAGATTTGCACATCATAACCTTTGAAACGTAACCTCCAATTACTGGCAATCCCACAAGAGTATCCAAACATAATACTCAATTTCTTTAATACCTTAATGGCAGCCTCATTTGCACAACATCAGAGAAAAGCTCAAGTTAAGCCAGATGCAGTGTCCACACAAACAAAGGAATATTTAGAAGGAGCAAATATAATTAATTTGCCAATTCATCACCAGTTGGGCACTTCGGTAATCAGCCTCAGATTCTTTCAGGAGATGCTCCAGATGTTCAGAGCACACAGGACAGGATGTTATTACATTAACCAAGTCAATGTACTTCAGGGGAAATCCAGCATCCTTGGCAATATGACATCCCATTGGAGCACTGCAGTAGCCACTCTTTCTATGCATCCAATCTGCTGTATTTACTGCAAGGTCAGTAGCTAAAGTTTCAGTTTCCTGATTGTCAGGGAACGTAAGTACCTTATGAGCTGGGAAATGAAAAACAGTGATGTCTGCCTTAGGATCTTGCAGATGGACCCAAACGTCCTTCCACATATCCTCACCATATGAGGTCTGATTCATAATCATCCTCTCCTTGGCTTTCCATTGTCTGACCCTAAGAGTTAATATCTTTAAAAGAGCTCAACTGTCAGTGCAAAGGATTAATGACCAAGGCCCACTAGCTGCTATGGTTTTTTCTTGTTTCCATCAAGATTTTGTCAGTGTTGAGCTGAATAGTGACCTCAGTCCTTGTGGATATATTTCCTCTACTTCACTTCTCTATACTATGCATCAGTGGAAATTTTCCCTGCTCCCTTTTTACAAGCTGCAGGTGTCACCATAGGAATAGAGGTGAGGGCATCTATAAAATCTGTATACTCCACAACATCTATTAGTACCTACTTTACCAGAGACAGTGGACTGGTAGAAAGGGCACTCCTCTGCTAGCAAGTAGACATGACACTTAGTCAAAGTGGGAGTTTGAGATGTGGCAGAAGTAGGTCAATGGAACATATTTTCCACTCATTCCTTGATAGGCAGGAAAGTTCTCACCACAGTGTGTTGTTCTTTACTGAGAGATTCTACCTGGAGGAATGGTGTGTATGGTACTACAAACTGTTGCTCTATGGGGGTATATCAGATTTCTGTCCCCTTCCAGAGCTGAGATCAAAATCCTAAGGGTATTATCTCCTTCTGTTATTTCTACCACAGTATCTAACCCATACCTTCTGGACTCACAGATACATCTAACTCAAGGAACCCTCCTTGGGAGATGCCCAGAGCTTCATTCTGCTTCAGTAGTATTTTTGCCTTTTCAAAGGTGGTCTATTGCTCTCATCCCCAGTTCCACACATTCCCTTTATTTATTAGACAAGAACCCTCCTTGGGAGATGCCCAGAGCTTCATTCTGCTTCAGTAGTATTTTTGCCTTTTCAAAGGTGGTCTATTGCTCTCATTCCCAGTTCCACACATTCCCCTTATTTATTAGACAAGATAAGGAATGGAGGTACTATGTTATGTTGGGACTAAAAGTTCTCCCAAACCCCCAAATACCTATAAATGATTGCAACTTTTTTTGTGTTTTTAGGGGTTGGGTAGGCTTGCACATTTTCAGTCACAGTTTCTGGGAAAACATGGGTCTTACTTTACCAGACAACTCCTTAAACTTTATGGTGTTGCCCTGAGCCTTGAATTTTCTGTGGCTTTACTGTCCATCAACTCCTTCACGGATGCTGTGCAAAGCCTGCAAGCTGTTACAGCATATGCAAAGCTTCACATGCTAACATTGTATCAACAAAAATTTCGTGGGCCTATTTCACTGGTGTGGGGAGGAAGAACAGGGATCTCAGAATACCATTTCATAATATATGGTGGAACTATGCAAGGTAACCTTGAGGGAGCACCTTTAAGGTCCATTTTTGCCCCCTCCCATATGAAAGTAAATTGATCTTGTGACTCAGTGGCCATGGGTATACTGAAAAAGGCAGTTGTTAAATCCAGCACAACATGACATGCTCCTCAGATCCAGATAGGATTGTATCCCTGAGGCCTCTGCTGGAGAAGGCATGGCATCAGGCAAATGAAAAAGTAGGGGTGCATAGGTGGCTCAGTCAGTTAAGCATCTGACTTGTGATTTCTGCTCAGGTCGTGATCTCATGGATCATGAGATCAAGCACCGTGGGCTCTACACACAGCAAGGAGTGTGCATGAGATTCTCTCCCTCTGCCCCTCTCCCTGCTTATGTGTGTGTTCTCTCTCCCCCCTTCTTTCTTTCTCAAATAAATATTTTTTTTGAAAAAGAAATAAAAATTCTAAACTGCTGCTCAGGTTTTAAGGCTCTCTATAAACCAACCAACACAGTGTTAGGTTCTCAGTCTATCTGTTAAGGCAGGATCCTTGCAGGAATAAGGTCACACACACTTGCATCCAGATTAGTCTTACTGGACCCTTCACAGCCAACTGGGATATATTTTTTGGCTTTCTGTCATATTAAGGGTTAGACATTATGAGGTTTTCTGCTTTACTGTCATCACCATAATCTCCTATTCACTCTCCAAGGGATTCCATG